CATGACGGGTGTGTAGTCTATTGTCAACAAAATTATGAAACTCCTCGTGGAGTGAAAGAGGTATAGTCCTTCAGGAAACTGGAGAAGATTCCAGATAACCCTCTCAGGGATTACCTGAGATCTCTCACAAATCCAGATTTGCATGATAAGTGTTGGATGGTAACTGAATGAATTCCTAGAGAAATCTGTGATTTTTAGTCCCATCAACTCAGAAAAACATGATTTTCCTGTGGCAGAAAGTATTAGAACCTCTCTAATCCATTTAAAGCACAAGTTATCATTATAATGAACTCTAATTTACCAATTTTTAATTTAATGCCTTTTTGTGTCTTGCCTGAAAAACCTTTGCATAACGAAAATCAGTAATCTTCTGTTCCTTCTAGAACTTTATAGTTTCTACTTTTACATGTATGTCCATGACCTATTTCAAGTTGATTTTTGTATATGGTGTGAACTATGGATTAAAGTTGTTGTTGTTGTTTGCATATGGATTTCCAATTATTCCAGTTATTTGTTGAAAAGACTACCATTTGTCCATTGAGTTACCTTGACTTTGTTGAAAATCTGTTGCCCATATATGCATAGTTTGGTTTCTAGACTCTCTATCCTGTTCCGTTGACATATCTATTCCTATACCAATACCACAGGCTTGATTATTCTAACTTTATAAGCCTTGAAATAAGGTAATATGAATCTTCCTCTTCTTCTTTTCCCTAAAGGTTTTTTGTTTATTCTAGGTCTTTTGCATTTCCATATAAATTTTTGAGTCAGCTTGTCAATTTCTACAAAAATTCCTCCTGGAATTTTTTGTGGGTGATTAGATTGAATATACACATCAATTTGAGGGGAATTAATGTTTTAACACTGAATCTTTCCATCCATAAACACAGTGTCTCTTTCCATTTACTTAGATATTTTGCAAGAGCCACTTTTTAACAAGTTTTTTTTTTATTATTATTAATTCCAGTTAGTTAACATACAGTTTAACATTAGTTTCAAGTGTACAATATAGTGATTCGGCATTTCCATACATCACTTGGTGCTCATCACAAGTGCCCTCCTTAATCTCCATCACCCATTTCACCCATTTCCACCCCTCACCCCTCTTTGGGTTTATTTTTTCAGTTAGGAGTCTGTTTTTTAGTTTGCCTCTCTCTTTTTTTCATCCTTTGCTCATTTCTTAAATTCCCCACAAAGGCCACTTACAAAGTCTATTAGGTTTTCTGTAGTTTTTGAGATCTTATGTGTAAAAGACCATGTTGTCTGCAAATGAGACAATTCTATTTCTTCCTTTCCCAAATGTATGCACTACTCCCTCACCACTTCCTTTTTTGTTTTCCCTACTGCAGTAGCTAAGATCACCAGCAGGGCGTTCACTAGGAAGAACAAAGCATACAGCTTTGACTTTCAGAAAAAAGAAAAAATGCTTGGGGGCATTTAGTCTTTCACCATTAAATATGATGACTAGATTTTTTTTTTACAGACACCTTGTAGCAATAGGAGGAAGCTGTTCTTTATTTATAGCTTGCTGAGTTTTTGTTCTAAGTAGATGTGGAATTTTGTCAAATAATTTTCCTGGATCAATTGAAATGATCATATAGTTATTTATTTATTTATTTTTTTTAGGCTACTGACATGATGAAGTACACCAGTTGGTTTCATATATCGGACCAAACTTGCATTCTTGAATTAAACCCTACTTGGCTATGATGTACTTTCTTTTGACATATTGGTAAATTTGGTGCTGATATTCTGTTAAGGATGGCTGTGGTCTGTGTTCAAGAGAAACATTGGTCACCAATTGTTTTTCTGTATGTCACTGGCTTTAGCATCATGGTCATGCTAGCCTCATAATATATGACTGAGATCCTTGCTCTTCCCTTCTGGAATAGACACTGTAGAATTGGCATTATTTTTTAAATATTTAGTTGTATTCAAATCTTTTTAAGATCTTTCAATTATCTGTAGATTCTGAAGCGATGCTATTTCCTTTCATTGTTTATTACGGATATGTATGGCTTATTTTTCTTTGTTTTGCCATGGGATTAATGATCTTTTTCATCAACAATGTTGTTTTGTCCTTCCTATCTTATGGGTTTTTTTCCCCCTCTATTTTTTTTTTAAGATTTTGTTTATTTGACAGACAGAGATCACAAGTAGGTGGAGAGACAGGCAGAGAGAGAGAGGAGGAAGCAGGCTCCCTGCTGAGCAGAGAGCCCGATGTGGAGCTCAATCCTGGGACCCTGGGATCATGACCTGAGCCAAAGGCAGAGGCTTTAACCCACTGAGCCACCCAGGTGCCTCTCCCTCTCTATTTTTATCTTCTTTTTTTCACTTCCTTTTTTACTTTCTTGGAGTTTAGTTCACAATGTTTTTATTCTAACCTATTGAGTGGCTTTCTTCTTGCCTGATCTATACTTATTGTAATATATTTCCTTCTATCACTGGTTTGGGTGGAACTGATTTTGTGAATAGCATGCAGTAATTTAAGTTTTCATTTTTTGTTTTACCTGTATGAATAACTTAACCAGAAACATTTATTGAGGTACCACTTTTCTCTTACTATTCTACATTGCCACCTTTGTCCTAACTCAAGACCTACAGGTAACTGTCTGTTTCTGGATTCTCTTACCATTGGTCTATTTGACTACCCATTTGTAATACCACATTGTCTTAATTATTATTAGTTTATGGGAAGTCTTATTCTGGTAAATTCTCCAAATTTGCTCTTCAAAAGTATCTTGGCTATTCTGGCCTTTCAGCATCTCCACATGTGATTTTATAATTAAATTGTAAAACCTCCCAAAAAAGGTTTTGATATGAAATGCATTGAATATTGTGGGAAATTGATCTTTATTAAGTAATGCCAAAGGATACGAATAATCACATGTGCTACATCCAGTGCCATGGGCAACCAATAGGAAGAGGTACCATTAAAATTATGAAGAATAGACTATCAGAATAAGCCTGATACAGAATTGTAACTACTGGTAAAAATGGAATATCTGCCATTTACTAACAGTAGGATGATTCATAACAACTGTAGCTTTAATTCCATATAATAGAGCTAAAAATCCACACAGAAATTTGTAGCCAGTTGCTGGTTACCTGCATGCTATATGGTATATATTGCTGCTCAATGATAAAACAAGCTAACTCTGTGTTTATGATAGGCTTATTCCTTTGGATTTTAATTCTTTTCCTTGCCTCCCCAATATATAAAGCACTTTGAGGGAAAATAGACATCTTTAATATTGAGGCTTTCAGCCTTGATGAATCTCTCAATTGATTTAAGCCTTAATTTATTCAGTAATATTTTATAATTTGTATATAGTGGTCCTAGATCCTACACTACATTAGATTTCAGGTGTTTCACATTTTTGATGCTAGTGTAAAAGGTATCTTTAAATTTTCAGTCTGCTGCTAGTATGTAGAATTAGTTTATTTTTCAGTATTAAAACTGTATAAAGCAACTAAACTCCTTTATTTCTAATACTTAATCAATATATTTTTGCTTTTCTTATAATTCCATAACCTACAATGTCCATAGTACCATTTCCTTTCTAATCCTCATGCCCATTTTCCTATTCTTGCTTCATTGCACTGACCATCTCCTTTAATAAAATGCTCAAAAAAGAAGTGAAGTATCGGGTGCCTGGGTGGCTCAGTGGGTTAAGCCGCTGCCTTCAGCTCGGGTCATGATCTCGGGGTCCTGGGATCGAGTCCCGCATCGGGCTCTCTGCTCAGCGGAGAACCTGCTTCCCTCTCTGTCTCTCTCTGCCTGCCTCTCTGCCTACTTGTGATCTCTCTCTGTCAAATAAATAAATAAAATCTTTAAAAAAAAAAAAAAAGAAGTGAAGTATTAAATCAGTAGGTGATAAGTCTAAACTGGGATCCTTATAGAAGCCCATCATCAGATCAAGGTTGCCTGGAGGTTTGTGACAGTGGAAAACCAAATGGGAGGCCTGTAAAGTAGGAATTATGAATCTTTGTTATATCTACATTAGTTCCATAGCTGTCACTACATAGAACTCACTCTTCCCTAAATTTCTGTGTGTTCACACAATTATCTTTTTTTTTTCCTTTTCCTATTTGTCCTTCTCATACCTTCATCAGGATCAGTTGGGACATCTTCCATAAGAAAACCTCAGAGTAGCTCAACCTCAAAGATGTACACCTAGGCCTCCTTTCCCAGGTCTGAATGGTCAATTTACATCTGATGTCAGTGTTCTCAGCTCACTGTTCATAATGAAACCAAGAATTCGTCCACACAGGCTAAGAATTTCCCACATCCCTGTTAGGCATGCCCTCTCCCCTACAGAGGTTCTCACCAGAGGGTCCCCATCTTTTCACCAGAGACAGGTCAGCCATTCAGGAAGAGGATCCGGTGGGCAGGAAATGTGAAGGAACCAAGTGGGAACTATATGAAGAACTATGTGAACACAAGTATACAGACTCCCCCTCATTCTTGTCAAGTATTGCTCTTCTGCAGACACCTCCAACAAGGGTCCTCATCTAAAGCTGCTCATGGAGCAACAGGCAGAAGCACGGGAGGAGAGCAGGAGATATTTCAGCGATATCAAGTTCTCAAACCTGTGGCAGGCATAATTTCTCATGCCAGGAGTTTTGCTCTGCAAGTGTCCTTTGTTCCCAGGGAAAACAGTTGGGGCTACAGGGTGGGAGTCAGAAAAGAACTGAAGAAACATTAGACAGACTCTATATGTGTAATGACCACAGTTTATATAAATGTATGTAAAAAATAATAAAAGTATCATAAAATGTCACTTTAACATACCAAGAATCAAGGCCACCAGGGTCAAATGAAGTCGTGGGAATGGGATATCAAAAGCAGAGTATCTGAAATGCAAAGCAAGTTTAGATGCAGCTTTTACACATTAGTCTTAGCATCCAGTTGCAGGAGGATAGAAAGTTAAAAAGAACTAATATTAACTGAAAACGTGCTCTACATTGTACTTTTTTTTTTTTTAATAATAAGAAAAAAATATTCAGATGGGTGAAACAGGATTGCCTGAAGTCACACAATCTGTGAATAGCTGAGCCAGGATTAAAACACAAGGCCATCTGGCTCAGTACCTATTTAACATTAGTTTCACCATTTCCACAATACCAAACTCAGGGAGGAAGAATAAAACGGAGATCTGGTCAAGGCGCATCAATTTCAAGGTCCAGGATCCTTCCAGAGAGACAGGTCAACTTATATGCTTGAAATGGGAAAATGCATAAACATCACCTGTATTGAATCTGACCCACCCATATTTCCATCTTTGTACAAGAATTTTACATATATCTTTAGGGGTCATGCTAAGCCCCTCCTTATGATGTAGTTTCTAGGAATGGTTTGTTTTTGTTTTGTTTTTTAACTCAAGCTTTCTTCGTGTCCTTTGTTGGGACTTACTGTATGGCCAAAATTATGCCAAGCTAATATAAGCAATTTCACAATGTCTGGTTATTGTTAATGTGGTATAATAAAGAATATGTCACTTGACAATATACATAATTTGTCTATATACATAATTTGTTCTACAGACCATGACTTTAAAAATTTTTACATACCATATTGAAAATGTTCTTCATTTAAGATTATTTTCCATCATCTTTGCTGAGCTAGGTATCATCTCACTATAGACATGAATTCTCTTATTAAATTTTATCTATAAAGATGTCCCATAAGTATCAATCAGGTTCCTAGTATTTATTAAGGCTTGAGCTAATACTGAGAAGGCTTTTCTGTGTTCAGTTCATTATAATTTTACCACTGTTATGAATTCTCTGGTGTACAGTGAGTTGTGACTTCTGGATGAATGCTTTACCACATACAGCACACCGATAAGGTCTTTCCCCAGTATGAATTCTCCGATGTAAAACAAGGTCTGACTTCTGCGAAAAGCCCTTTCCACATTCAGCACACACGTAAGGTTTCTCTCCTGTATGAATGCGCTGATGCCCTGGGAGGTGGGACTTCTGAGAGAAGGCTTTCCCACATTCACTGCATATATAAGGTTTTTCACCTGTGTGAATTCTCTGATGTCCAATGAGATGTGATTTCTGACAGAAGGCTTTTCCGCATTCACTGCATTTATAGGGTTTCTCTCCAGTATGTGTTCTCTGGTGTATGATGAGCTGTGACTTCCGGGAGAAGGTCTTCCCACATTCAGTACATTCATAAGGTTTCTCCCCAGTATGAATTAACTGATGTGTAATGAGTTCTGTCTTCCTGCTGAAGGCTTCCTCACATTGAGCGCATTTGTAGGGTTTCTCCCCAGTGTGAATTCTTTTATGTATAATGAGGTGGGACTTCTCACAGAAGGCTTTCCCACATTCAGTACATTCATATGGCTTCTCTCCAGTATGAGCTCTATGATGTATAATCAGCTGTGACTTCTGGGAGAAGGCCTTCCCACACTCTCTACATTCGTAAGGTTTCTCTCCAGTGTGAATTCTCTGATGTATAATGAGGGGGGATTTCTGGGAGAAGGCTTTCCCACATTCACTACACTGATAGGGTTTTTCCCCAGTGTGAACTCTCTGATGTATAATGAGGGATGATTTTTGAGAGAAAGCTTTTCCACATTCAGAACATTCATAAGGTTTCTCCCCAGTATGAGTTCTCTGATGTACAACGAGATGAAACTTCTCACTGAAGGCTTTCCCACATGCACCACAATCATATGGTTTCTTTCCAGTATGAATTCGTTGATGTACAATGAGCTGTGACTTCTTAGCAAAGGCTTTTCCACAGGTAATACATACACAGGTTTTCTCCTTAGTTTCAACATTGTGATATTGAATAAGGGATTGTTTACTATTAAAAATGTTTCCACACTGATTATTATTACAGGGCATTACTCCATTGTGAATTATTTCAAGATTAGAATCAGATGCACCATGGCTAGATGATTTTCCACATCCAAAACTCTCATCAGGGTTTTTTCTTGAATTGCTCTTATTACAGCTGCGTAGGTCAACATTGTATTTCAAGTTCTTTTTAAATACATCATAGTTATGGGATCTTTGCCTTAAAGTATCTGGCTCTATGCACTCGTGAAATATTTTTCCCAGTGGATTATATTTATGGCCTGACTCCACAGTGTCGGTTTTGTTGTTGATGACTGCTACTTGCCTGAAAAGTCTGTCTTGGTTTTCCTGACATCTCTGCAGCTGGCCACCATCTTGACTGACTTTTAAGATGGAGTAAAATGAACCATCCTTTGTGACTCCTTTCAGGATATTATTACGGAAGGAAACAGACCCCAAAATACATGATTTGGGGTTGTCAAGGTTACTTTTCCTGTCTAAAAAAAAAGAAAGAAAAAAATAAAACAACTGTAAAGAACAATGAACAGAATGCAGAAGAACAGAACAAATGACTAATTCAATGTAGCTGATGAACTCAGAACACAGGGATGGTGACAGGCCATCTCGTAGGACAGTACAGCATAGAGTACGATCAGATGAATGGATGGGAAAGGATGTTAAAGAGAAAAAAATTCATGGGAAAATTAGAACTGAAGGACACAGAAAAGTATCTGTGTTACCACTCTAATCTGGATTATTCTTTTAGAATCTTTCCATTTTCTCTGCTTTCTAAATGGAAACCTTTTTGACCTTTTGAATTCATTTTTCTTATCCTTTTATCCTGCCACCAGTATCCACAGAAACAAGGTCCCTCTGTACTCAAAATATTTAAACTCTCCTCAGTCTAGTTTCCTAATTAAAAACTAATACAAGCAACAGAAAAATCCAAGATCCTGCTATGGATTCAGAATCAGATTCACACTTAGAACCCAAGATTATATTCCACTACTTGTCATAAATACCTTCTATATGAACCAAGGGAAACTAGCAAAGTTCTCTCAGAAAAGCCTTAATTCTCTAACTTCAGGTTTTGTTCACATATGCTCTCCCCACCACAATCTGCCTTTAACCTCCTCCTTCAGCATCATCAACATTTTATATACTTTCAAAGAAGCTACAGCTGCATGCTCTGGAAAATGCTTTCTCAAATTATTGTATCTTTAGATTCTCATTTTCTCTAATTTTTAAAACAGCAACTATATTTGACATATAATTGTGTAGAGCCATGTACCTGAAGGTCTTACTATCTAAAATATGACCTATGTTCTTGGAAGGAATTTGCCTTTCTATTGCCCTCTCATAAAAGGTGTTAAAGATATACATATATGCAGAGAGAAAGATCAATAAGAAATAGCTCCCCCTTATAAAAGCTCACAATTATTTAATTATTTGTTTAATGCCTACTAAATTCTCAGCACAGGGACAAAGAATAGAGATTTCAGTAGGAACAGAATGTAAACCTCAGGCATCAATCAATTAAGAAAACAAGACAAACTGATATTTCACTTCCCTTGTCTCCCATCTGCCTGATTTTCATCTGGATAGATCCAATTTGGTATGTCTCTCTTTATGATCCATGGATCTTCTCCTTGTTCCAACTTAGAGATGACATCTGGTTTGGAAACTGGATATCCTATTAAATGGAAATCACAGAGGAATTGGGAAAAAGTGGAGGTGTAGTTTCAGGAAGGCTACAAGGAAGCAATCCAGGTGGCCCTTAGCAAAAACAGTGACCTCCATATGGGAAGGTCTGAAGATCATTAAAGTCATTATATATGTCAGGAACTACAAGCCATAGCACCTGATGAGGAAAGGCGCTTGGATGAGCAAGTCTGAGTTAGGCAGGGAAGCCATCCTTACCCATTGAGACCAGGTGGCTGAAGTTCTCCAGCATCACATCCCTGTACAGGGTCCTCTGGGCAGGGTCCAGTTGCTGCCACTCCTCTTGGGTAAAATCCACAGCCACATCCTTGAATGATACTAAGGCCTGTAATAGTATATTCCTGTTCAATCTGAAGTGACCATTCTCATCATTTCTACTGCAGTATATAAAACTAAACTACACCTAGTTTTGCATCACGGTATTTGGGAGGAATAAAACAAAATCCTGGCTTTACAAGAAGAGCCAGACACAGATCAGGAAAACAGAAAATGCTTACTTGATGCAAATGGTAACTTAATAAATGATAAGGGCAGCATGCAAATAACTGAGAGGAAGACAGATTATTCAAAGAATAATACTGAAACAACTGGATAGTCAACAGAACAAGAATTAACATTGAATCCATATGTTAAAGGTAGAATTGTAATTCACATATTAAAGTGCTAACCACCAGTTTCTCAGAATGTGACCTTATTTGGAAACAGGGCCATTGCAGATGTAATTCTATGAGGTATAATCTCATGAGTCTACAATCCAAATGACTGATGTGTGCATCAAAAGGACAGATTTGAACAGACACACATAGAAGAAAGATGATACGAAGAGACACAAGATGGTCATCTACAAGCCAAGGAGAGAGGCCTAGAATCGACTGTTCCCTCACAGCCTTCAGAAGGAACCAACGCTGCTGACAACTTGAGTTTTGACTTCTAGCTTCCAGAACTATGAGACAATAAGTTTCTGTTGTTTAGTCCACCAAGTGTGTGGTACTTTACCACAGTAACCCTGGCAAACGAATACACCATATCTTACGTCTTGGATAACAGGAAACATACATTCTGGATGAGCAAAAATTTAAACTCTAAAAAGACAGCCAAGAGCATTAAAGTAACAAAACAAAACATGGGAAGACTTTTAGTAATAATTATAGAGCAGAGAAAGCAAAACATTAAAAAAATAATTATAGAGCAGAAAAAGTAAAACATTAAAAGATAAAATACACATATGGAGAATCACAGGATGTCAGAGTTCTGGAAAATCATAATCTAATCCCCTCATTTTATAGGAAAATAATCATAGCTTCTCCTCAATGAATAGTTTCCTTACATATGCAATACTTAATAACATAATGAAGTACATCAATTACAATACTGAAAACAGATATAATGACAAATACGCAGAAAAAGTGATGAAAAAAAAAGTAACAGATTATTGATGTGACATTAAAATAAGAGACGTGGGTAAGAGTAGTCATAAGGTATTTTTGGAGGGAAAAGTGACTATTTTAATTATGTCACCAGCATGTTCACAACAGTTGTCATCTAATAGCAGAACCTGAGTGATCTCTATTATTTTAAACTGTTTTTCAGCTTTTCCCCCTAAAAATTTCATTATTATCAAATGTTGCTTTCAGAAAAAGAAAAATTAAACACTGTTTCAAATAGCAACATTGCCCTGCTTAAAAGCATCCTTAGGTTCCAACCTTGCATACACAATCAGTCTCATCTCAGCCATCTCAACCTTAAGGGACCTCTGATCCCACACCAAGTCCCATATTCACACCATCAAGCTGCCAGGCATTTAGTTTGTCCTTTAAACAGCCTTCTTAATTTTCTCATTTTACATATATGAGAAAAACTGCAGATGAGTGGTTAAGTACTTGGCAGAGACTATATACACTGAATGTATGATTAACTCGCAGATTTAAAAGCAGGTGTTCTGAATCGAGAGCTTGAGTTCTTGACCACTGCACTCCACACTGCCTCCTTGATATTGTAAATAAGATCTTTTGTATCTTACTGTTTTAATAACACCCTTGGGCAAACTTCCCATGAAACACCCTATTTTTCAGTTTTCCTCAAATTCTCAGCCTTCCTAAAACCACTCTACTTTTTCTACTTTCGCAAATGTTTCTCATCCTTATCCTACTTCTCTCATGATCCAAAGTTCAATAATCTTCGATGCCTATTTTCTACTTCCTTGGAAAGCTGGTTGCTCCCCAGCTCTGCCTTAGCAGTTCCTGGCTCCCATGTCTATTACAGAACTTTTATTTGTCAAGACTGGTTTCCATATCTGTTTACCCAAGTTTCCTCTGCATTTCTCCCAGAAAAAAACCATACCTAAATCTTCTTGAGATACTCCACAACCAGCCAGTGCATATGACACACATTAGGTACTCAATAAACTGTTTGCTAAAAAGGAATGAATGACGATTATAGAGAATAAAAGGAAGTTCATGTTTAGTTAAAAATACTTTTGTGCATTAATCAGTTATAGTCTTTTGATCTGAAGAAAAGTGACATGAGGAAAAAAAATACATGTGGAATGTAGAGCAAAACCATTCTGACAGGAAGATTAATAGATGTAATTCTAATGTTCAGATTTTGCTTTATTAATTTTACTCAAATGCTTTGGGGTGCCTGGGTGGCTCAGTTGGTTAAGTGTCTGCCTTTGGCTCAGGTCATAATCTCAGGGTCCTGGGATCAAGCCCTGTGTGGGGTTCTCCTGCTCCCTTTCCCTTTGCTCCTACCCCCAACACTTGTGCATGCTCTCTCTCCCAAATAAATAAAGTCTTAAAAAAATTATACTCAAATGCGTCAATAAACTAAATATGTATAAATTTTGTGAATTGTGAGAAAAATATAGTACACAATCAGTGGAAAATTGTACTTTTATAATCTATAAACACTTTTTTGTGGCCTGGATGACTGGGAGAATGGAGTTGGAGGAGAGCAGGTGTTAGAAAGAGAAAAGAAGAATAGACATGTGTGCAAACAATGACTTCACTTCTGGACACTCTGGAAAAAATAAATCCCTCTTCCAACAGGGAGAGGATTATAATCAATTAATTAGCTCTGGCAGCTGGATGTATTAGGCTAATAACAAATCCATTTTCCTTCTCTAAAGCTGCTCTAACAGAAATACAAGACTAACCAGATAGGTGATTTTAAACTTTCCAGTAGCCACAATCAAAAACCAATTTTCAAATATATATATATGTATATCTCCCAATATATTCAAAATATCATTTCGAAGTGTAACCAATCTTTAAAAATTATTAGTGAGCTTTTTGGAACTAGATCTTTAAACTCAGTGTGTATTTTACACTTACGGCACAACTCAATTCAGACTAGCCAATTTCAAGTGTTTAGTGACCACATGTGGCTGGTGGCTCT